AAATAATGGCGGCCATTAGTCAAGCCAGAACTAGGACTTGTCCTGTCAAATCTTTGCATGTCAAATCTTTGCCTTGCAGGTCATTTTGACCTGTAATGTTGAGCCAGAAATGAGGTATGACTGAGATAAAACTAATTGGGCCTGTCATCATGACAGGCGACTAATCAGCCATTATTTTATATAAGCCTTGGAAGGCTGTCGTTTCTTCAACTAAAATAGACTCATTATTAGACTTAAGACTATTATTATTAGACTATTAGACTTATTATTATCTTGTAAGGCCTAGGGCAAACGTCGAACTTTCCATGCACCGAACTGAATTACATCAAAGAATGCCGCCTCATTACCACCTGATATCCATTGTTTTTAATGAGTTCGGTGCATGGAAAGTTCGACGTTTGCCTTAGGCCTAAGTCATTAGACCTTTCCCTAATAGAGCAGTTTTCGCATGATTGTGAAAAGCTCAGTGCTGTTAGCATGCCGTGACGTGGCCGTGATGTTTTCTAGAATTTTAATTGGCTGATTTTTTCCCGCGCAATGTGATTGGTCTGGTAATGAATAGATCTCGGCCTGACCTTGTCCGCGCCGTGTTCATTCCGTGTTCCGGGCATTGATTGGATGGAGAGTAAATTATCGAGCAATGTGATTGGTCTGGCGCATGCCTTTTTGCCGTGTCATGACCGTGTTCATGCCGTGAGCTTTTCACAGTTGAATTGAATCGAATTTTTTTGAATTGAAGACTTTAGTTAATGAGGGTGACGCGTGACAGTAATTTTGTTAACTGATAAACTTGTAGCCCTCAACAGTCATACGAAAACTGCTCTTAGCTGTTTTCAGATATTTTTACATTCGTAAAACAGAATAATGCTTACATGTACTATCGATGAAAAGCATGACAAAATTATTACATCTGAATTTTGAATCAAGTAACTTCAAAGTTCGATGCCGCCAATTACGCTAATCCAGGTAATTAGGCTATTGTTATCGTGGCAGTATAAATATGACCAATCTGACTTTATTCTTCACTTGACTCTGAAGATGACTTCCGCTCAGGTTGTCGAAACGTCAGTCACATCAAACAGTGCTTCTCAGGATTACATCCACCCGGATGATCATAATACTTCGATTAACATTCATCCGCCTGGGTTCAGACCGTTCTATATAATAACTTCAAAGTGTTAACGTTTTAATAGTGGCGCCTATTAGTTTATCAGCACTGTAAATTTTCCTACATTATTGTCCTTGACTTGTACGAAAGGAACATTTCTGACACCATGTCACTTACTCACCTGCAAGATTGTCATTCTGTCATTGTCACAGGTTGGGCAGGAGATAGAGGTTCGTCCAGGTATCGTATCCAAAGATAATGAAGGCAAGCTCCAGTGTCGTCCTATTTTCTCTCGTATTGTATCGCTGTTTGCCGAACAAAATGATCTTCATTATGCAGCTCCAGGAGGYCTGATTGGTGAGTTAACTATACCACTTCTCAAGGCTCGAAATAAACACTATCATATAGCAAAAGTACTAGAGCTTTTCTTGACTTCGCAAGTTAAAAAAAAAAAAGCTCATACACGTCCAATACACACGAAATGAGACGGATCGTCATGAAGAATTGAGGATCCGTCTAGCCGGATGCCATTTCGTGAAAGACCACAGGAAGCCCATTTCAGCGATTCAAAACTAGAGTTGGTCTAGCATTGCAAGTAAATGTTTCCATATGCTGGATCTGTACGAATTTTTCATCAAGAAACAGAAATTTTCTGGTCCTGGTTCTTTTTGTAGGCTTTATGATATCAAGGTAAATATTCAGTTATTTCAAAAAACCTTGAAGCGGCTAACGGCAATCCGTGATTGGTGATTGCATGACCGAAAGAAACAGTGTGTATAAATCGAAGCACGAATAATCGAGGTGTTTTAAGACTATTTCTACTACATCTCGACGCTAACCTTTGTGTTCTTGACAAGAACAATGATAAGAAACACTGGCCATTCCAGCTATTCTTGGATATTGAAATGACCTATCTCCTATCGCCTATTGCTTATTACCTATCACCATTCGCCCCTTCAACCTTTTTTAGCATAGCATAGAATAGAATATCTGGTAGCTGTGTACATGTAGGAGACTAGTGCTGATGAGCGCACACACTTTTCACACTTAAGTTTTCGCTGTTCACGTGCAGTTCGCCTTTTCGGCGCAAGCCGTCATGTGGTATGGGATTGGTTTGAATTGTGTTACGGTCACCAAAACGTTCGGATATTTGTTCTCGAATTTCCGTACAAATGTACTGGCTTTAAATGAAATATTTACTTGGATTGTTTAGTTTGTTCTCTAAATACAAGTAAGATTTTTTTTTCAAAGCTTGATTGAAACTTTTCTTACTGCTGTTAAGAGAGCTAACTAAAGAAATCTACCTACATTTTCTCTTTAAACTCAGTGAATTTGTATGGGAATCCGAGAACGATGTCCGAACTTTTTGGTGACCGTAACACAATCCAAGCTAGCGCCGAAAAGGTGAATTTCTAACAACAACAACAACAACAATAATCGTGTTTATTTAGTACCTGCTGTGCTATATAATATTTACAAGTGAAAATAAATACAATGTATAAAAAACCTAAATAAAGGTACATACTATCTATAATAACCACAAGGGCTAGCCGAGATAGAAAATTGGGTCTATGAATAAAACATAAAAGATCTGGACATATTTATATTCGAAAGACGCGTCCAGCGCCATCGACCCGTAACGCACACTCCACACTCTGCTACAACACAATGTGAACAGTCAGGCTGCCCTCGTTGACTAGAGCACAGTAGCTTTTATTTCTAAAATCTTTGCACTTTGTAGGTGTGGGAACCAAGATTGATCCTACCCTTTGCAGAGCTGATAGGATGGTTGGACAAGTGCTTGGAGCTGTTGGGGCTTTGCCTGAGATCTACACTGAGCTTGAGATCAGTTACTTCCTGTTAAGGAGACTGCTGGGCGTGAGAACTGAGGGAGATAAGAAGGGTGCTAAGGTATGGAGAACATTGGTATAACTCTCAATTCTATCGAACCTGGATCGAACCTTGGACAGATCTGAGTCAAGGCACAGCTAACTCGTAGATTAAATAGGCCCTTTGCAGCTTAGTAATCACGTGCTGATTAATTCACTGAGAGCAAGTGAATGAACATCTTGATTCCCATGGGTGAAATATACTGGTGAGCAAACAAACTTTCTACAACCTGTTTCGAGAGATCGTAATATAGCTGCATTTCGTGACACACTGGATACACATCGTTTCATTCAGTTCTTTACAAGTAGCTAAAAAGAATCACCAATCTGAAATAAAATAAAAAAACTTGCTCACCAGTACAGAGACGTGACTGTTAACTGCAAAGGGGTCTATTGGAATTGGGATTTTGAGGGTTGGGTTTTGTGGAGAGAGGAAAACCAGAGAAACTAGAAAAACCCTCAAATTAAGGGGGAGACCTAACAAACTACCGTCACATGTGAAGCTGAGTCCAGGAATAGAACCCAGCCATAATGATCTCGTACCCAGAGCCCACGTTCCTCTTGGGCAGCACCAAGAAATTAGAGGCTCTGGCTACAGTCGACACATATTCGATTCCCGCCGACTCGGTTCCGTACTGTATGTTTGTAAGGTTGTTTGTTGGTTTTCTCCTGTGCTTTGTTTCTCTCCGGGGTCTCCGGGTTTCCTCTCTCATCGAAAATAACTGAAGAGCCGCTCTGTGGAAATCCTATTTATTTTTAATTCATTCATTTATGTAATCTAGGTAACAAAACTGACCAAGAATGAAGTATTGACGGTCAACATAGGGTCACTATCTACTGGTGGTCGTGTTCTTGCTGTTAAAGCAGATTTAGCCAAGATTATCCTAACTCAGCCTGTCTGCACAGAAATTGGAGAAAAGATTGCATTGAGTAGACGAGTGGAAAAACATTGGAGGTATGAAAGCCTTTATGCTAATGATAATTATTAATCAATATTATTATTCAAATTATTTTTTTGTCTTTTTCATTGGTCAAGATAATTGCAAATATTGTATTTTTCCCTTCCCATTTTGTATTTCTCCCTTCCCATTTCGTATTTTTCCCATTCCCAATGGACCTAAATCCCAAATTCAGTGACTGTTCTTTTATTTTCAGGTTGATTGGATGGGGACAAATTCGACGTGGAGTGACAATCAAACCAGAATCTTAATCTTAACCTTATCACAGAGATGCATTTACGCCATGATATAAACGAACAAAACCGATGCTGGTCCATAATGCACTGCGAAAAAAAAAAGACAATTGAAAGAATTTCTAGAATCTGTTGTACAATATTTTCTCGTGCACGCTTCCGCTCGTTACCTATTAGCCATTCTGAGGTTGAGAAAATAGCTGGGTCGAGTTGGAATTGCAGTGCAGTGTGGGGTTGTTTTAGGGGACGAAGTAGACGCCGCCTTGGAAATGTCACCTTAATGCCCCATAATCCTTTGCAATGCCAACTCGACGCATTTTTTTTCGACCGGAATGGATAATATCATACGTCAAAAAAATCTGTCAACTGTATGGAATCAGTGTCGATTCTGCCCATGCATTTAGTCCACCAGGAATAGTGACGTCATTTTCAATACCTTTACCATTAAAAGCCAAGTCTAAATATCTCACAATCCCCAGGGCCCAGTTGTACGAAGCCTGGATAACGCTATCCGGCGGATAAATCCTTATCCAGTAGATAAGTTGATGCTGTTATCCAATAAATTTAGCTACTGGATAAGATTTATCCGTCGGATAGCGCCGGTATTCAGGCTTCGTACAACAGGGCCCAGGTGATACAGTAATGATGGATGATAGACTTGAAGATTTTCATTAGAAAGACAATAATCTCTGATTCTCTCTTGAGAAACACCTGCCAGCTTTTGGTGTGTGAGTATCTGGGTATAGACCAACTCGGCTAACAAATTGTTTTAACCAATTCAAATCTACTGGGAATAATTTTCTTGGTATACTATATTTGCATATCATATCCATATCAGTGCCTCAATGACATGGGAATATAATGGACAAAGATTTGAATTGGGTAAAACATGCCGAACCCGAAATGCTCTATTCACGATGTGAATCCAATCAGCGAAAGGTCACAATGATATGAAATGTTCCTAAACTTTGTCTGCACGTTTTTCTGGCATAATACAGTATCATCTGTGATGACATTATTTGCATATGAATATAATGCATTTCAAGCTTAGGCCCCGTCCACACGTACCCGGAAATTTTTGTATCCCTATCCGGAAATTTTCGAAAACGGTCTCTAGAGTGGACATTTTCGAATACGCTCCGAATACGGATACGTGTTGACGGTCATATCGGCCAATTTTTTGAATACAATGACGTCAACGCGATTTTGCGCATGATCAATAAGAAAAACTATCCGTCAAGGGACTAGGCATTAGCGTACATCAGGGCGGATCATGAAATTTCTGGATACGTATGGACAGTGAAAACGATTCGAACACGCTGCATGTGGTTGCAAACATTTTCGTATCCGGAAAAACAAAAAAAAAAATTGCGGACGGGGCCTTAGTAAGCAAACTGCATGATGGAACAAAACCTTCACTAAGTAAACCCTTTTTGAAAGAGCTGTATAAGATTTAACGCTAGTATCGTGTAGAAGAAAACTAAACATATTAAATGGATACTGGTCAACAAATATATTCTATTTAATGTGTTTCTTGGTGTGCTTGTGACGTTGCAGCATCAATGTTGTTTGAATTAAGCATAGCATTTAGGCCTCGTTGACACATTAATTAAACGTTAATGCATTTCCGATGCGTCTTGGCCTTGCATCAACGCTGAAACGATCGAAAACGCTCTAAAGAGTGGAAACATTTGTGACATGCTGTCTAGTAAACTATTTACAGATATTGTAACTAATTCTGATCATAAACTAGAACATTTACTTCCATCTAGAGCCAAACTATTAAAGTGCTTGAGGAAAAACAACATTTAAAACCAAGTTTCAAAACAGATCGTTTTAAGAACTCTTTTATAATCCATTACGCCCAGAGATTCAATACGTAACTAGTCCTTGTATTGATGTCTAATTTTTCTTTTCTTGTTTACCTGCTTGCCTGCCTGCCTGCCTGCCTATTAAAAGAAAATCCAATGGGTTCTCCTGCAGTTTGAAACATATCACTAGCGCAGTTGAAAATCAAGATTTTCAAATTACCAGCCTACAATGACAGGCAAACACTGCCCGTCGTGTGCTATCAACCAGAGAGTATTCTATTGCTTGGTATCAATCAGCTAAAGGAATCTCATGAATCTCATTACCAGCCTACAATAACAGGCAAACACTGCTCGTCATGTGCTATCAACCAGAGAGTATTCTATTGCTTGGTATCAATCAG